TAGGAGAGGTGAGTCCAATCTATTAGAGGAACAGTTAGTCAGGAAACGCATGCACGAATCAAAACCTGGCAGTAAGCCATGAATCGACGACTGTACGATATTGTATTAGGCATTGTACTGCAAACTTAGAGAAACTAATCTAGTTACAATACAAACACTGAGTACTGTACCAACTATACAGGGGATAATCGTCAAAACGACAGGCAGTTGTAAAGATCTTAATTTGAAATGGTGGTTTTAATTTTCCTTTAATGAATTATTTTTCTTAACTCTCTTATGTAAGTTTGTTTTTTGTTTGTTTTTGAATTTCGCAGTGTAAGACTAGAGGGAAGGCAACTAGTCATCACCACCCACCGCCAACTCTTGATCTACTCTTTTACCAACGAATAGTGGGATTGACCGTCACGTTATAACGCCCCCACGGCTGAAAGGGCGAGCATGTTTGGTGTGACGGGAATTCGAACCCGCGACCCGCAGATTACGAGTTGAGCTCCCTAACCACCTGGCCATGCCGGGCCCATTTTGTATAAGCTACCTAGGACTTGTATGGTAGCTTTGACTGCCTCACCAATGTCATACAAATACTTATGCTGCATAAATTATGCTTGAAGTTATGGGATGTGAGTTTTACAGATAGGGTTATTGAGTTAGGTAGAGCACAACCTCATAGTAGCCCGTGGGGTTAGCCTATAATGAGATGACATCGACTAATTAAAATTGTAAAAACGCAAAGTGCTGACAAATTCTGCGCAAACTGCAAACTAGTAGAGTCTCTATGCCGCAAAAGTTTCCTACTTCCTACAGCTAATTAGACAAGCCATTGAGAATTACTGCTAGCAGATACCACAGTGTATGGTTGCTGCAAATCTTTTAACATTAACCGGTGTTTTTAATAAGGTTTTGATTAATTATTTCAGACTTTTAAGCCCTTTTTACAAACTAAAAGTGGATTTCGAAAGAAAAAGCTAAATAACTTTTAAAAAAGGATATTTTAATTGGAAACTCAAATCTGAAAGATACACTAGAAATATAAAATGATTTGGAAAGAAAACTAACGCTCTTCAAAAGCTAAAAGATAGGTTGATAAAAAGTTTTTAATATAATGGCTTCAAATAGTATTTAAGAGCTAATTTTAAGTTATTTTTGAAAACGAAACATGAATTTGAGTTGAAGATTACATTTGAAATCCGAAACATCTTTTAAAATTGCTCATACAAAAATCTAACCCTTGGAAATTAAAAGCGCAATATAACATTCGAATAAAAGCAAAATTCGATGAATTATGAAAATAAATTTAATTTCGAAAGTGGAACTGAAAAGTATCAAGTTAAGTGCGGAAGTGAACCAGCACTAGTTTTATTTGGTTTGTTATGAACAAAATGAAAGTTTAATTTTTTCAAGTAAAACTTAATTTGTATTTTCAGTAATGGGAGAAGTAATTTTAAATTCCATTTTCTATACGATCATTTTTTGTATTTAGAATCCACTTAATATTTAATTTGAAGATAATCATGAATCTGAGAGGGATTGTTATCAACCTCAAGAAAAATTAAACATGCATATTTTGTTTCAAGCAAAATTAAAAGCAAAAAATGATATTACAAGGGAATTAAACAATGAATTTATAGTAAATTATCAACTTAAATTTGAGAAAAGCATTTATTACTACTCCCTAATCTTTATTAACTTGCTATATACGATTTTTTTAAGTCATTTAATGTGGACAAAGGAAACTGTGGGGTGAAAATATACCTATTTAAGCTTTCAAATTATTGATATATGAGTCTATGTCATAACACTAATTTATTGAATGATAATTTTTACTGATGTTTTGGTATTTCTGAGATGATTGTATTTACAGGCTGGTTATGAGAACACTACAACTAACGAATCTCATCGATATTTATTTATACAATGTATTAGGGACACTATAGCTGGTAATAGTGCTTCTATCTGTTAACGAAAGTGTTATAGTTTCGTTGTTGTAATATTTGATTCTATAATAAAGTTTGTAAGTAATTTATAGAAGGAAATAATAGGGCATTTTGTAGCTGACGCTAGAGGGTACTATATTCAATATTTACCTCCGCCACCGCTAGAGGGTACTATATTCAATATTTACCTCCGCCACCGAAGGTGGACGGAGGTTATATTTTCGCCGCTGTGTGTGTGTGTTTGTCAGCAAGATTTCTCGAAAATGGCTGAATGGATTTGGATGAAAATTGGTATACATTTGGATTATGACCTAACTTAGAAGTGATTAGTTTTGGGTGGCCAACGTCACAGCAATGTGACAAAAATCCAAAAAAATTCCTATCTGTTAACATGGGGACCGATTTTTCACACTGTTTTTGCTCAGTGATATAAAAAATCGGATTGTGATGAAACTTGGTGGACATAAGTAGAATATTATTTCTCATTATTCTGCCAAAAAATGGTCCGTGTCCGTTTATAACGACGTAGTAATTTCTGTCTTTCATGTATCGTTTTATTTTTCTCTGTCTTTATACACGTCTTCAGTGTTATAGGTTTGAAGCAGTTTCTCAGGAAGAATCTAGAAGCGCGTTTAAACGTGTACTTACTATGACTTTCTATCCTGAAAACTACTTTTAATCACCACCACTATTTTAACCAATCACATTATACACAACGTTTAGAAGTCACTGAGGAAGATACAGATAGTCATCGAAACATAAGCCAGAGTTTTAATAATTTAGAGTAGGGAGTAAATATAAACTACCGTGTCCTGAAGGGCAGATGTAAGTTTAAGGACTTGCTGCACTAAAATCATGGGTTCGATTCCCAGTGGTGGACAGAGCGCAGATTGCCAGCCCATTGGATATTTTCACGCTAAAACAAGCAACAAAAGATAAATATACAAGACCAAATATCACTGCTTTTGCACGCTTTATTTGTACGTATTTGAAAGTAAAATATTAATAGCCTCCCTAGATTAAAAAATAACGTGGTTTCGTTACGAAATACTTTGTTATAGCAATTTCTTGAGACGTAGGAAAAGGACAGAAGAAAAAAAACTGGCGTAATTCAAGAAAAAAATATGCCTCGATTGGAAGGTTTGTATAATATATCATAGTAATACTGCAATGTTAACAGCAAAAGAGGTATAAGTTGTTTATGAACGAATGTTAAATGAAATCTGATGACCTTTGGGACTTGGACATGAAGAACAACGTGGATTCTCTGAACTTTTCTGTCGATTTTTTTTCGTCTTTTTTTATCTTTTTATCTATGACTAAATGACTATATTATATGTACAGCAAATAATTTTTCGTTTAAATAGGTACAAACAAAAGTAATCATATATCCGTCTAGAAAAACTGATTTACTTATCGTTGCATTTATAAGTTTTGTGGCCTTGTAAAGATTCATTAGAAATATGACCTGTGAAACTAACTTCCTTTTTTTTCAATCGAAAACTGCCTCGAATACAAATAATAAAAGACATCACTCGCATGATTTCTGTTTTAGATTATCTGAACAGGATCTCGTTCTCTTCCCGTTTCCTCCCACCCCTTAAAATAAGATCTATAATTTTTGCCAATGTTCCACGCGTGAAGTATTTTATTTTGTATTTGTCAACTTGGATGTGTTTGTTGATAATTCAACCCCGCCCCCCTACCCACCTCCACGTCTGAGTACAAAGGGTCTTTGCAGGTATTTTGTATGTTTATATTTGTGGTATAAAGTTGGTATTCCAGCTAGTTATAAGCTAGTGAATGTAGATAATGATACGGACTTCCCGTCTTATTAATTAGCATATATCATCAATCTCAATCATAACTAATTAGCGTGCCAACTAACAAGAGTTTCTCTACCTTAGCACTGTTAAATTAATTAATTTTGAGAACGAAGTTGGGCTTCTAACAATCCTATAGCTGGTGTATTATGTTAGTCAACAGTACCGAAATTATTAAAGATGTAAGCTATGGAAATAACGCAGAATTTAGCAGTAAAGCAAAAAAAAATTAATAGAAAGAAATAGTGATAGAAGCAAAATAATATGAAATTGTTTGTTTTGAGAAACCAAAAATTTGTAATTGACAGGAAATAATGATCAACAGTCTGTAGTTGACAGAAAATAGTGATCATCAACCTGCAATTCCCAGATAGAAGAGTAGTTGATAGGAGATAATGACCACCAACCTGCAATTCATAGATAGAAAAGTGACCGACAATCTGCAATTGACAGAAAATAATGACTAACTGTCTATAGTTTGACAGAAAATAATAATTATTAACTTGCAATTGACATATGGAAGAGTGATCGCCAATATTGACAGATAGAAGAATGACCAACAACCTGTTATTGACACATAGAAGAGTGGTCAACAATATACATTTGGCAGAAAGAAGGGTGGTCAACAATCTACAACTGGTGCATACAGTAGTGAATATCAATCTGCAATTGGAACATAGAAGAGTGACTAACCATCTAAAATTGGCACATAGAAGACTGAGCAACAAACTGTTACGATACAATGATGTATATAAACAAATTTTCATTGATAAAAGTGATGAGTAAGCGAAAATGTTACAACTGACGCAGTTCAAAGCACCGAAACATTAAAATACAGGCTGCAAAGTCTTGTTCGGTTCAAGTATCTTGAAACTCAAACACCTACTTCATCATCGTTTTTTGTATTTTGTTAAAAACTTTTTCTAAAAAAACAAACTTTCATGCCATAAACTTTACATAATACCTGAATACAAAGCAAGGAATAAGTGACATTTTACTTTCCAGCCACTTAGTTAATAGTATGATACAGAAGGTATAGAGAGAGAACGTTATACACGTATAATGTGTATTGGACCACAATGCTCAAATTCTAATTAGACGATTAGGTGACACGAGTAACACTTTGTATGAAGGCAATATTTCGACACAGCTGCTACGATAACATATGAACGTAGTTAGTATAACTTAATAACTATTTGTAACATTACATTACCTCCCTCAGTTATTCTTAAGATATACTCACTCGTTTTTTTCCCACCTGCAGTGGTCGCAGATGGGGATCGAACAATAGTTTGGAAGGATCAATATCCACAGGAGACTGACGATTACCTATGTTACACAGACTCCACTCTGGATTCAATAGACCCCAGTAATTGGGACCTGAAAAAGTAACAATTTGTAAGGATTAACATATATATATATACAGGAGACTACCGATGACCTATGGCACAGACTCCTCTGGATTCAATAGACCCTGTAGCTAGAACCTAGAAAAAATAGCAGTTTGGAAGGACTAATATATATATATATATATATATACACACACACACAGGAGACTAGCGATGACCTATATTATACAAACTCCACTCTAGATTGATTAGACTTTGTAATTGGAATTTGGAAAAAAGCAACAGTTTGGAAGGATCAAGATACACAGGAAACTGGCGATGACCTATGTTACACAATAGATTTAATAGATTCCAGAAGTTGGGACCTGAGAAATTAATTACAGCTTTAGTACTATGTCAGTAAAAGGGGGTAATCTACATACCTGAGAAAATAAATCGATATGGAACAAGAACTCACATATATATATATATTATTAACACTGTAAAGTACTAACCTAAAAGCGATTAAGGAGGCATAGCGCGCTAAGATTCTTTCTGTAATAGAAGTACGAAGATAATTTGTAGTTATAGGAATTTCGCATAATAGAACAAAAGCACAAAGCTACAAATTGGGCTATCTGTGCTCTGCTCACTGCGGGTATCAAAACCCGACTTTTAGCGTCGTACGCCTGCGGACGTAACAGTGAGTCACTAAAGGACAGTACAAAAGAAAGCATGATTGGAATATAAAGGTTTTATTATGAACTATAATATATACATACAGATGAAGTTGTCCTAAGATGCTAATATAACGAGACGAGAATGTTCAAATTATTAAAGTTGTAACGAATCATGCTTGGAAGAATATATTTATTTCGCAATGGTAATTTGTTGACGTTCAGTGAAAACTACAAAAGAGGAAATATCTGTCATCACTAGGTTTAGTAACTACAATTTCTGAATTGGGCATCACATTGACTTCTGGTCATCTTTGGAAGTCAACATGACATGAATATAACTTTACTATGGCTGTTTAACAGCATGTTGTAAGCTAATCACTATGATATTTCCATGTTTTAAAACACCTGGTAAGCTAAATGTAAAATATATTTACTTTTAAGTTTGATTATTTGCTTCAGAGCAAAGCCACATTGGGCTATAGGCTGTGTCCGCTGCGGAGAATCGAATCCTGGATTTTAGCATTTTAGGTGCATAAACTTACCGCTGTCCCACTAGGGGGACGTACTTTTAAGGAACTTTAGGATATCGTCATGAATTTTTTTTTATGTTGCTGGTATTGTTCGGATCTTCATTTTGTACCTTTTTATTCTTTTGCATATGTCTACGTTGTTGGTCACTACATTTTATAATTAGTCCCTTACACATTTTACTGAAGTTTCAAAGTGGAAACCATTTTTTCATAATATTCTTTTTCCTGGGTTATGAAGTTACGTGTATGGTAACGTCTGTTGAAGTTGAGAGAACATTATAAAGTGGACGGTTTTGGTCAGTCTCTAAAAGTTAGGGGACTAAGCCATTACAAACTGACTGGAGTAAAAGCATTTATAGTGGTCGCCCTTTCAAGCTCAGCAGATATGGAGGCTATAAGACCCCTGTGGTTATGAAACGTTATAATCCGATATATGGGAAACAGTTGCAAGGTCAGATAGAAAGGGGTCGGTTAGACGTGGGTTTGAGAAAGGAATATCAAAGAAAGGAGTTCAACGAAAACAAAACAAAAAACAGGAAGACTGGGAGTTGTGAGAGAGAATAAATAAACCGAGAGAGGCGAAGGAGAATGTAATATGCTGCCAGTAAGAAACAATACCTATTTCTAAATCTATATGTTATTGATAACCAGTAATAGAAATAATTTGTTTTCTTTACATTGGTATGAGTCAATTCCTGATAGGAATGAGAAGGGAAAGTGAAGTGCGAGTGTAGCACTATCGTAATATACTGCAGTTTCAAAAGGAACACAAATATATGAAAGTTTGGAAGTTTAATATTGTTGCATATTATACTCTTTTAGTATGTCTACAGTTAAAGGGATGTTACAAATATGCTCAATGAAACATAAACCTTCCACAGGTTTCACTGTTGATTTTCTGTAAATCATGGTTTATTTTTCTCCCCAAAGCATAATCATATAAATTACCAAACTACAAGGAAGCTGATTAAATCTCAATCATCATTAGGTTTTTACTTGCAAATTTGATGAAAATAATTGTACACAAGTTAATCTAAAGAATTCTATAAAAAAGAATCGACTTTTTTTGTCAAAAGGAAATGTTGATTGTTTTTCCCAATGAAAAGTGGGATTAACCATCACATTATATGCCTCCAAGACTGAAAGGGCAAACATGTTGGGTGAAGGGATTCGAACCTGCGATCCGTATATTGTGAGTCGAGTGCCCTAACCGAACCTGCCAGGTCTTTCTTAAGAAAAAGGGAAATGCTATGAACTAAACTTCAGTCTCAGCAACTAATAGTTAACTTAATTCAGTAATTCAAACTTGGGCCAAGTATTATCTAGAAGTTAATGATCTGGACTGGGAATCCCCATTACGACAAAAACATAGTCCGCAATTTGTGAACGTGGATGCGCTAAAAGAGGTAACTGTTAAATCCCAGTTAAGAGTAGTGTGACGGATTTATTATTATATATTTATTTTAATATCGATGTTTGTTTAAATTAAACTTATATTTAGAAATGTACATAATGTATA